TCCAAAAATCTAACCATATACAATCTTGAAGCAGGACAGTCCCATAATACTCCTTTTCCTATCTCTTGCCTTCACTCACCACCCCCTTCTTTTTGAACAATCATCTCCCCAAGAGATAGCACAGCAACTGCTGCACTGTTAATAACCAGGGGGACAAAATGGAACTACCTAAATGTTTAACAAGAGTTCATTTTTATGACAGAGTAGTAGGTAGTAAAAACCAAGGCTTTGTCATAATACTTTTTCAAAATGAGGCTTTAATTATTATAGTCAGAAAAGCAGGGCTATCAAAATAGCCCAGTGGGCTAAATGCCTGCTTAGGCAAATTCAGGGACCAGGATTCCATCCCCGGTACCACATGCCATGCTGACCCCACCCCTGGGCATGCTGAGGCACACACCTGTAATCCCAGCGCCGGGGAGGTTGAAAACAGGAGAATCACTATGAGCCCACACAAATACATTTTTTTAAAAAAGAAAGAAAAAAGGAAAGGCATTAAAGTAAAATACTAACAAAATATAAATTATTTAAATAAAAACCACAGGGGACCAGTATATGAAAGTCATTTCACATTTGTCATTCCCATATGTAAAACAGGTTAAGTATCTTATTTGTGGTTCTCAGTACCAAAAATATTTCAGAATTTGGAATTTTTCAGATTTTTGGAATATTTACATATTAATTGGCTAATCATTCATTGCCTGAAATTTGAAATGTATCAAGAAGTTTGAGGCTGTGCACCATTTCATATCTTGGATTTTCAGATTAAGGATTATCGCCTTGAATTAAACAAAATCTCCAAATGTGAAAAATAAATCATAAATTATGTAAGCAATAAACATTTTTATAAATAAGCCTAATTTCTTTCTCTTTTTTTTTTTTTTTGGTTTTTTTTCTTTTTTTTTTTTTTTTTTTTTTCTTTTTTTAAAATCTATTCCATCTAGGGACTCACTATACAGATTGGACTCCCAGTGATTCTCCTGTTTTCAGCCTCCTAAGTGCTGGGATTACAGACATGTGCCACCACACTCAAGTCAGTCGTAGGTCTCAGTGCACCCCAGGGGTGAGGCCAGCACAACTCAATTTATTTCTGAATATAGCTCTATAAGTATTTTACTGAGGAAATAGAGATAATTAGTAAATTTCTATTCATATGCTTTCTGTATAGTACAGTTTTGTTTTTTTTTAATCCTACAAAATTAAGACTAAAGTGAGGTAAATAAGCCTCCTGCCTTGGGCCCAAAATTTAAGGGAATGTCCAAAACCTCAGTAATCAAGACCAATAATATTTTATGTAGTATCTTTATTTTTTTTAATTATTTATTTATTTTTGTGTGTGTGTGGCCAGCTCAGCCCACCAGGGGGCGGGGCTGGCTGGCATGTGGTGCTGGGGATTGAACCGTGGTCCCTGTGCTTTGCTTGGCTTAGCTTGTTCTAAGTAGGTGCTTTAGACCACTGAGCCATCTCACCAGCCCCTGTAGTATTTTTAAATATCTAAGTGTCCTAGCACTTTCTCCTTGCTCAGCTGTAGCTCCCAACACTTGCAGTAGGAGAGGTTCGTTTTGGTTCATAGTTTTGAAATTTTAGTCCTTGTACTGACTTGAACCATATAGGAGACCAAGGTAAAAGAGGAGATGTGTACCCAATAGACAAGCTTTGCTTTACTTTTTGTGATTACCTTTCTCCCAGAACACCATGTACACAGCAGAATAATACACAGTTGTCTGGAACGGTGTGAAAACAGGTTTAAATTTACGTTGAGAAAACATTGAAAAGTAGGTGTGTGAAAACTCCCAACTTTGTTTCTAAAGTTTAAATATTTACATCAAAGCTGGCATTTATTTTAATTTTACTTTGGCTTTAATAGAAGCAAACTTATCAAATTTCAAGATCAACTTCTTTGCTTTTCTTATTTTGAAATGAGAAGCTGCCATGTCTGAAGAACTTATGGCTGTTGGTTGGTCCGAGGAAATCAGTTGAATGTGGACCAAAGTTTAATTCATGTGCTCGGTGTGCTTTTATGAAGTCTATCCTATTTGTTACCTAAATTTCTACCCTGTTAAATTAAATTAGCTATTTAATGGACCTCACTAAGAAAATTAACAACTAAATTCAGTCTTTACCATGTTTAATTTTTATCTTGCTTTCTGGTGCATGGTTTTCAACAGTTGGAACGGGAGCTGGCAGAACTCAAGGGCTCTGGCAAAGGGCGCAGCGACCGAGCTAATAACAATAAAACAACTGAGGTTGAAAAATCAAAGAGTTGTGAGACTGTCACGGAAGAACCAAGTCTTCAGCAGAAGATAATGATCAAACTGAATGCCTTAAATGAAAGGGTAACATTCTGGAACAAGAAGCTAGACGAGTATGTTTAAGGGGTTGTGTAGTTCAGATCCGACACGCGAGAGGTTGAGAATCTTAGTTCAGGGTCCCTCAGTTGCCTTGCTCAGGAAAATAAGAAGGACAGAATGGAGAGCGGGTGTGGCCTGCTGGCCCAGCTCCTAGCGCGTCATGAGCGGGCCCGGGCCACAGCCGGCCTGCAGTTCGTGGTAGCGCGGCGCCTAAGCAGGCCGGGAGCTTCCTCTGCGTGCCTGCGGGTCTCATCCCCGCACACTGGGTGCAGCAGGGCACCAGCTGGCGGAGCGACTCGCCACACAGAGGAGACCCAGCAAGGTGCACGCGCAGCTGTCTGCATCGTGTGAACGCAGGCCCATGCTCGTGTTCTCACCTAGAAACTTAAAAGAAGGCTTAATAAGGCGGAAAATGTTTACTTATGAAGGCATCACGTGGATCAATTAGTCTGCCCTATAGTGATGGTAACAGTAACTTTGATAACGTTCTGGGGGTGCAGGGGACCACTCTCAGCCAGACTCTCTGTTCTTTGCTTGCATGAAGCCGCAAAACAGCCTTTACAACATGGGTGCTGCCGGTATTGGCATTTTTCTGAGAAAATAGAGTCATAAAAAGGTAAAAATTGTTTAAGATCAAAGAGCTACAGCTTTAAGCCCAGGATAGTTTCCTAATCTTTATATATTCTGAAGCTTAAATTTAAAGTGGCTTTAAATTATAAAAATCAGACTGCTACTTGGCTTATTAACAAGCTTATTGAAAAATAGAAACTGATAATATACTAACGTCACTTAAAAAACTTTTGGAGCAGGGAGATGGCTCAGTAGAATAAGCGCTTCTCTGGCAAGCTCAAGGGGCTGAGTTCAATCCCTGGTTCCACCAAAAAAACACACAAACAAACAAAAATCTATCTTGCATTTTTGGGTGGGGGAGATGGCTCAGTAGAATAAGCGCTTCTCTGGCAAGCTCAAGGGGCTGAGTTCAATCCCTGGTTCCACCAAAAAAACACACAAACAAACAAAAATCTATCTTGCATTTTTGGGTGGGGGAGATAGATCAGTGGTCTAAGCTCCTGCCTGGCAAGGGCAAGGACCCAAGTTTAATCCTACCACATGCCGTGCAGGCCCCAGAAACCGGGGTGTGCTGTGCCAGCCCTGTAACCAGGCATGGTGGTGCCTGCCTGTAATCCCAGTGCTGGGGAGGCTGAGACAGGAGGTTCACTATGAGTCTGAACTGCCTAGCAACACTCTGTAATTAATTAATTAATTAATTTAAAAACTCATTAATTTTAATGTGATGTTTAGATGACTCTAATAGCTGTACATTCTTTTTTCTTCAACAGAATTGAAGCACTTTATCGTATTGAAGTAAAGCGAAAGAAGAAAAGTCATGGTTTATTGATCCCATTTTTGCTGATTGAATTGGAAACTGTGGGGAATATCCATTTTGAACAAGGCACTAGCGCTGATGACTGGTAAACCTGTTTGAAGTATAGTTTTAAAACAGCCTTAAGAAATCAGTTTCATCAACCAGAATATCAATTTATAATTGTAAAATGTCACCTTTTCCAAACATTTGCCATAAGAAATCTTAATCTAAGATTCCTAAGAACCTTAATGTAACAAAAATAGGCAGTTACCTACTCCACCACTCATACATTTCTCTGTTTACCATTTAGAGTGCCATTTAGAGAGGAAAAGTTCATAGTAAAATACTGGTTTTCTATATGTCTCTACTATTTGTTTCTGTGCTGGCTAAGCCCTAGAGTCTGACTATTGATTGTGAGGCTAAAACACAGGAGGAATACGAAAGCACAACTGACACTGCTAATGTGGAAGGGAGTTATCTAGGAAGTGTCCTGCAGGGCTGGGGTCAAAGTGGAGCTTGTTTTTTAGAACCAGCTGCTGTCAGGGTGCAGCCAAGCACTGAACATTAGAATACATTGCATATTCTGGTCTTCTGAATACGGGCTGCTTGTCATGACATG